GATATAGCCAAGTACGAACCATTCAAAGGTGGATCGTACCTCCCGGTGCCGAAGCATTTCAGAGATAAATGCGCCATCCTCAACCCAGAAACTAAAGGGGGTGATGTTAATAATTATTGCGCAGTGGTGGTGGTCATAGATGCCTCGCACGAGGTGAAAGGTAATCCGTTCAGGCGTTCCAGCTACCCAACGAAAGAGGCATCTGGGTTCGACTTCACGGATGTAGAATGCCTCACACCCATCTCCTACTGGACGAGATTCAAAAGCAAAACAATTTAGCCATCAACGTGTTCGATCACGAAGGCAATAAAACCATCGTGCACCGAATCAGCTCCATGTCCGATGATGTGCGCAGAATCAATTTATTCCTCATCGAAAAAGGCAACAAGTATCACTACGCAGCAATTAAAAGTTTGTGCAGGTTGTTGCATGACCAATCAAAACACAATGGAAAAAACACTTTTGCGAATGGTGTCTGCACGGCTTCACGCAAGCTGACCAGCTGGAATCTCACCGCAAGGATTGCCCAGGCGTGGGACAGACGGCCGTTCGATTTGACATGCCCAACGAAAATGACCCGTCTTCGCAGTGGCTCGCTTCTTGTCGTGTGTGCACGGAGACAGCAATCTCTAAATCTGTTGTCGATCAAGACATTTGCAAACATAGAGGTTGCTGACTGACTGACTGAGTTTGGTTTTACGCCGCTTTTAGCAATATTCCAGCAACATCGCGGCGGGGGACACCAGAAATAGGCTAGAGGTTGCTGTATCTGTGCACAGGACGCTAAACTCTTGTCGTGGCGTCATCCGAGACAGAGCACGTTGTCTCGCTGATATGTCAGAGGAGGACATTGCTTCAGAGTTGGCAGATCAAGGTGTATCTGCAGTGAAACCTTTCACGATTAAGAAAGAGCGAATTATCGTGAAAACCAACACGTATCTACTGACTTTTGACCGTTCATCTCTTCCAAAGTCTGTCAAAGCTGGTTATTTCAACATCGGAGTGGATGTGTATGTCCCCAGTCCACTCCGTAATGGTCCCCATTCTGCTTCATCAAGATCCTGTCCCGTGTATCAACGGGAATCACAGATATTGAAAATGAAATGCCAAAACAATATTTCATACCTTGAGGCAAAAAAATCTGTTGACTCCATAACTCAGACTCCATCAAACCTGACCTACTCTGCTGCAGTCATTCGCTCTGTAGCAACGTCCTCGGTTTCATGTCAGACCGACTTGACATGGGTAACATCAACTAAACCTATTCCTTCAGCTTCAGCGCTAATAGAGACAAACAGCCTACTGTCTCTTCATCTCCTGAGGTTTTAACACAGAATACATTTGCACCTCTAGATATGGAGGTTACTCTGTCCTCACAGGACAGACGGAGGAATAGTTCCTCCGCACATTCACGTGGTCTCACTCCTATTAAACCACCATTAATCACTTGGCCAATTTAATTCAGTGGAATTGCAGAGAACTGAAGAATAAATTCAATGGAATACAATTACTCGTACAAGACCTTCAACCGTCAGCATGGTGTCTCCAAGAGACATATCTTAAAAATACTGATAAATTTAACTTAAGACGGTATAGTGGTTATCATTCATTTTCCCCTCCAGGCGATAAAGCTTCTATTTTGGTACATCACAGAGTCACTCATAGCCCTGTCACTCAAAATACGGATCTTCAAACTGTTGCATCTGACTCTACACATTGCGCTGACATCGTGCAGCTTGTATATACCTCCCTCTTAAAATATTCAACAATCAGATCTTCAAAATCTGTATGATCAACTTCCGAAGCCATGTCTCAGCATGGGCGATTCTAACGGACAAAACCCGATTTGGGGAAGTGCCCATACTAATAACAAAGGTAAAATCCTTCAGGAATTCATTTCTGATAATAATTTATGTATTTTAAATGACGATTCAGCCACTTATTTACACCCAGCTACGGGAACATACTCTTCCCTGGATCTGTCACTTGTCGATTCAAACTTACATAATGAATTTGAATGGATGGTTCATGATGACCTATGTGGGCATGATCACTTCCCCACCATTCTCAAAACAATTAAGCCTGGTGATGATCCACCTTCATCAAGAAGGAACTTCGCCGGGGCTGATTGGTCAGTATATGAGGCTTTGTGTGTTGAACACTTAAAACATGAAGTATTTGCGAACAGCGAAGATCCTATACAATTGATTTCTTATATCCTCAATGACATTGCTGATCAAATTATACCCAAATCCTCTGCAATTCCACATATTCGTAAACCATGGTTTACTAATGACTGTAAACAGGCCAGATAACAACTCTATTTTCACAGCAGAAGCTAACAGCCTTAAAATATATTAATAAACAATATATAATCTTCTCAGACTCTCTTTATTGCCTTCAGGCTATCAAAAAGCTTTATTGCAAACATCCACTTTTAATAGAAATTATTGAATTATACAATGATCTTGCTACTGGCCAGTACGACATCGTCCTCTGTTGGTCACCCAGCCACGTTGGCATTTGTGGTAACATAATCAGGCCCTCCTATCTATTTGACTAAAAAGAAGCATTATTGGATGTAAAGTAAACTATATAATGTGTGTTTAGCTACCACATGCGAAGGAATAGCATTAAATGTGTTGTGAATGCAGCAACTATCGCTGTAAAAGCGGTTGGCATCGGAAGCACTATACAGCCGCTATTGGAACCTAAAGCATCGGCAGCCGAAAACTTTCGGTCATCTCCGATAATTTCCGCGTTTCGCCGAACAACGCCAACACTTCCTGTCGTCACAGCGAGCGAAAAATGGCTGCCGACAGAGGAGAAGACTGACTGACTGACTGAGTTTAGTTTTACGCCGCTTTTAGCAATATTCCAGCAATATCACGGCGGGGAACACCAGAAATGGGCTTAACACATTGTGCCCATGTGGGGAATCGAACCCGGGCCTTCGGCGTGACGAGCCAACGCTTTAACCACTAGGCTACCCCACCGCCCCGACAGAGGAGAAGAGAAAAGGGTAAGTGTTTCAATCAACGCTTAGCTCCACATACTGTAATTCTGATTTAGAAGGTAGTGTGCATTGAACGCATGTTATCATCCCCCTTTGATAGCAATACTTCATCTTCGTAAAAAATGTATTTTGTGTCCATTATCTGCGTTTTTGTATGGAAGTCGAACGGATTTCAAGCTGAGGTCGGCGGAATGAGGCTACCAACCTCCTTCGCTTTGAGTGAATTCTTACATGGCTTTAGAAAATTTATCGTGAGGGGATTCAGTGAGGAGCAAAGTGAGACTCAGTGTGAATATGGTATTCGGGGTTATTACGGACGATGACGACTTGAGCAATATTTTCATTGACCGGCTACGTCGGAGAGACCGCAGTTGTATTTTGCCCCATATTTGTAACGTAAATTCATTTTAAAACTGGAAGTGAGTGCAAACAGTATGCATTTTATTCGTGTCTAGTTGTGATTGAACCTATATTACTTTGTGTAACAGATACACTTACCAGACCATCATGTTTGTTTTGGGAAATATACAGTCGCCGAGTGTGCTGGGATCTGGTGGACGGATGGGCGAGATGTCTGGCAGTTGTGACCTCCCTACTGTTCCCGAAACTCCGTCGACAGAGATTATACATGGAGTCTGACCAATACCAAAGTCTTCCAATGTGCCAGAGTCACCAGCTGTGATTCTCACACAAAGAGGTTGATTATTGCCCTTCAGTTTCAGTTCTCTTTGTTTTTTTCGGTTAAATTCGATTGTAAAGATATGTGACAAACATGACACACACACCCCTTTTCATTCCATGTTTAAAATATAACGCATAATAATTAGTTTTGAATAATATTTTCTGAATTTATTTCATAATGTTATTCTCTTGGTTTGACCCTTACAGGTCACAGTCTGCAGAGGTGTTCAAGACTTGAGCAGCAAGATGACACAAGTTTCCTGGATCAAGCTTCCAGGATAGATGAGACATTGTTTGTTGCAGCAGAGACTGAGCACAAACCATCGTTACAGTGTGGGACCTGAGGGAAGATTGTCAAGACCTAAGGCTCCTTGAACCTGCAAGTGAGGCGCCACACTAAAGATGTCAAATTCTCATGTGAATTGTGTGGGACGTTTTTCCTTATCAACCAAACGCTGAAGGAACATGTTGCTAAAGTACACAAACAGACTGGTGTTGTCAAGTGCAAGGTTTGCAGTATAGTTTCAACATTTCGGGGTATGGAGGAATACAAGTCTGCTCCATGATGAGCATGCACCCAAATACAGGTTGTGGTAAACTCATAACATAATATGTCATGACATTTTTTCATTGGTAGAATGAATGACCATGGCCAGTTGTCAGATCCCAAATACGAAATTTGGAAACCCGACTTATAATTGCCACGATAACCATACCACCTTTGCTTATTTGAAGTTCATTTGTTTAGATTTAGTAATAGAATTTCCTCAAATCTCTTTTTCTGGTGTTAGAGATTGTAAATTCTTGTTGATGTTGGAAAATACTTGTGCATGCTTGTAATGTTTGTTCATGTGACTTTGTGTTTTGAAAGTAGTTGGAAGGATGCTTGGCTAACCAGGTTAGCTATGTGATAATGGCAAAGATAACTAACAAATAACTGCAATGATATGTTTAATGTTGTTTTTATCAACCATGTTAACTTGTAATAAAGATATATTTACAGCCATATATGAAGTTCAAGTGTTTTATTCATTGACAAATCTGAATATGACTTTCTTGTCCAATGATAATCAATAGATAAAAATGTCTTATTTTCTGTTTACGTAAGACACATCACATCATGTCCAACTTTACAATTCCCATATTTACACATTATGAAAGTGCATATGTAAAAACATAACAGATTCAACACTTTGACATCTGTTCATCACAGTGGGCAACAGACTTATTAGTCGCTTCATCTTGCTTTCCTTGACTTTGTGGTAGCTCCAAGACCAGGTTCATGCACACTTGACGTAACCTTCACCGGCTTCCTCGCACGATGAGCCTACTGGGGGCATCAAACAAGTGGTCCTGTAATAGGATTGAAGAACACTTTTAGTGGAATGCAATGTGTGTGTGTGTGTGTGTGTGTGTGTGTGTGTGTGTGTGTGTGTGTGTGTGTGAGGGGCTTAACTTTGACGGAAGAGGACCAACATTATTATACTTGAAAATATCACACCAAGACCTCTGCAAGATAGAAATCAGTTGAAAATTCAGATGATCAAATAGTTAAACCTGTGGAATCACACTGTAAACCATGGCACACTGATCAGTTAGTCATCTAAACAATAAGCTACCACACTGCTAGATTCTACATATTTAATAATGCTATTAATAGTAAAAAGTAATGGTAAACAAAACTGTCAGCCAGTGTTTGTTAGAAAACGCCATTAGTTAAACATATATAACTTTTAAATGTCAAACAACACCAGCCTTCCTAGTACGGTGTGGGACTTACCTGGTTGGATCTTGTCTTACAATGCTCTCCCCACAAAGTTTGGACGTGTTGACATGTAAACCCACTGGAGGGAAGTGGACAAATCAGCCAGTGGCAGAAGGAATTTCTTGAACCTGTAACAATAAGAAATATAGCAATTTCATTAAGTTAAGAGAGTGAACGTTTAATCAGCCGTAGCTTTCATTATGGATGTTGGTCATATTGCAATGATCTGTAGTCCACAGAGGAAATTCTAAATCAACTCACCTATATACCCATATGTATCTCCTGCATCTGTCAATAGCTGATATCCCTGGGTCATCACACGCCTGGAACCACTCACGAACCTGAAATGTGTTTAATATCTGTATACCAAGAGTCCAATGACAACCAATTAACATGTTAATCAACATTGAGATACCAAATGCATGATCATCATATATTCTAATGCAAGTTACACCTGACTACCTATGAAATAAGTTACATATTTGCGCAATTGATCATGCACACCTCTTAAGTAATTCAGAATTAAAATCAACAACATATCCTTTTATCAAGTTGTCAGCTGAAAACAGCCATTAACCAACATTCCCGATATTCACCGTAATTTCACTTGGCACAACTGTACTCGAGATCTGAACAAGAACACATTCACTACTACATATCTTAGACACAACATGCTAACACTAGAAAAATAAACTGGTACCAATGTGCGATTTGGAGAAATCATACCCGCCTCGATTAACTTTCAGCCTGCAACACTTCTTTCAGACACAACTGTGTACCTAACTTGAGGCTGAACAGTGAACACGCTGACGAGGCCGAACCCTACCCATTTATTTACGGTAACTGATTAAACAAAACACGTATTCCACATCAAATGACAAATCCAGCTGCATATACATGATGGTTGATTAATGATGTGGGTGTTATGCATAAAAGTCAAAACTTCAACCCGGAATATACAAAAGAAACTACTCACCTTGTCACTTGTTTGGTTTCGTCCGCCATTTTGTCGTACAATGTTTTTCCGGAAATGGTGTTGTCATTCAACTACGATCGGTTTTTCACGGATACAGTCGAAGTTATTCCGCTGCATTTTACCGAGTTTCGCATAGCGGCTGTACGCGTATTCCGCTAACAGCCGCTGTCAAATCCGATAGTACCTCTTTTTGTTCGTATATGAACTGCATTAGATAGCAATACAGAGGCTATGCTACCAATACGCCATCATTATGATCTCATTTAACGCTTTTTCGTCACATAGATAGGAGGGCCTGATAATGGTTGATCTTGCAGTCAAGGCAGCACTCAACAAATCTGTGACACCACTTCTGATCCCATACTCTGATTACAAAGCTGCTATTAGATCTTATATCCGTGATCTGATGCAAAAGAAGTGGGACACCCAAGTTGGTATCAATAAATTACATGACATAAAACCCTATATTGGTTATACCTACTTGGGTTGTCAGTCCAGATTTGAAGTGATCATCATGCGACGATGTCGTATTGGCCACACCAGATATATTCATGAATATCTATTGAAAGGTGAGGATCCTCCGTTCTGTATCCCTTGTGATGAGAGAATCACAGTCAGACATGTCTTGCTTGACCGTGTTGAATACTCCATCACAAGGGATAACTATTTTAAATCACGAACTATGAAGGATCTTTTTAATAATATCAGTTCTCATTTAATTATTGCATTTTTAAAAGAATTATTCTTTTTAACTGATTTGTAAATAGATAAATATTTTATTATTGGTAGTTTAGATTAGTAACTGAGATTGTTAGTGGCTGTACCCTTAAAGGGGGTTGAAGTAGCCTAAAATTATTGTCCTCCTGAGAGGGTACGTAAGTCCCGAAACATTCAAAGGAAATTTAAATTTACCAGCTGTTTTAAATGTAGTATTTTTGTCATTTTAATTTTGGCTAAATTTGACTTCAATCGCCAGCGGCTGAAGGGATGATATAAATCCAACTAGGGTCCAAGCAGGTAGCAAAAGTACTGTAAGTCCCCATGGTCCCTAGTTTGGTGATCTACCTTCAGTTGTTGGCGATTTATAGCAAGTTTTTATATTGTATTGTCCCAATAGTGCTATTAGTTTTAATTTTCCACAGTAGTTTTAGTTGTAATTGTGATATTCTAGTTGTTTTACGGTCCTTCGTCGACAGGTTTTTATAATATACATCTATTCTATTTCAATGTCACATATGTTCTTGTCACGATATGGCTGAAATATTGCCGATGTGACGTTAAATAATATATTGAGGATGAATACCACTTTCTCCTCGTATGTTCCAAATTCAAACAGCTCCGCTTGACTGACTGAGTTTGTTTTTACGCCGCTTTTAGCAATATTCCAGCAACATCACGGCGGGGGACACCAGAAATGGGCTTCACACATTGTGCCCCAGCTCCGCTTGAACCATTTACATAAGACCTATCGTACCAATCCAGGAAAAGCTAAATTCCAACTCTGGACAGAAGGTCCGAACAAACTCAAACCTTCGCACGAACACGCCACTAGAAAAAAGGTGGATAGCCGTGCGTGAAACACGTCGAGAATTGTGCAATAGCTTGCGACAGTGTACATTGTCACTGAACAAGGCAGAATTAGTTGGGTATTTTTGATAGAGCAGCCACGCTGTCGGTGACTGTCGCTTATAGTGCCAAATCAGGGCATAATTGTAATAAGTCAAATAAGGACTTCAATTGGACCATATGGTGGTTTCGGTGGTCACATAAGTACCGTGCCGTGTTATGTCAAATTAGGACATATTGCTGTATATAGTGTCGTTGAAATATTTCGTTGGTTCATGTTTCTGTAAGTAAAACTATAATGAACTTTGAAAATTGTTGAGTTATTTGTAAGTCTTCCACTGCTGCTTAACAAACTCCTCATGTCATCATCAGATTGTAAACTTTAATAATTTAGCTAGTTTTATCTACCATGCAATGCATCTAAGATGTTAAGATCATTAATTTGTACTGTACACACCATGTTTTGTCATGCACATTGTAACCTATGTAGTTATGGGCCGATGGCCTACATTGCTGTAATAAAAGAATTGAACTGAAATATTGGAAATTCTGTGTAATCAAGCATTTCCTGAGCAATTAACTTTTCAATTCAATGTCTGCAAATCCGGGTGCGTGTGCATACGGCGATATATGATGAGCATATGTTTCATGGGTGCAACTTCATATGAAATAGGGGCGGTGGGGTAGCCTAATGGTTAAAGCGTTGGCTCGTCACGCCGAAGACCCGGGTTCGAATCCCCACATGGGTACTATGTGTGAAGCCCATTTCTGGTGTCCCCTGCCGTGATGTTGCTGGAATATTGCTAAAAGCGGCGTAAAACCAAACTCAGTCAGTCAGTCATATGAAATAAGTTATCAAATCCGTTTATAGCATGTATTTCCTATTGTGTTTTCATTTATCTCAGTGGCGCACTATCCACTATTTCGTCCCGTGTCAGGTAACACCTGTATATATAGCGGTGTGTTCTGGGATCCTGAAACACAGTGTTAACTGACGATATGGCTCATTGGATGAAGTATATCATACTGCTGGCAGGTAGGTCATATTTCACAGCATACATAAGTGAGGAATTGTGCCATTGTTTCATATCGTTGGTTGGTATGTGGTTTTTTCTTAATGCTACATGCATCAGTGAGTATGAACAACTTATTTAAATAATGATGTTCTGGAAACCGTCTCTCCATATAAATACTTAGGTGTACATTTTTCAAGTTCTGGAGAATGGTATCAAATTCAAAACGTTTTATCGCAACAGGCGAACAAAATATTATGTATGTTGAAATCAAAGGTTTTAACTTTCATAATTTGCCACGCAATGTTCTATTTCATATTTTTTAATGACAAAATTCTTCCTGCATTAGTATATGGTGCAGAAGTTTGGGGATTCCACCCTGCACTAAATATTGAACAAGTTCCTGATAAATTTTGTAAAGAATGCATGCACCGTGGTAGGTTTGTGCCAACTATTACAGCCAGAGGTGAATTTGGAATAGAAGCGACAAAACATTTTCCACGTTCATAACAAATCTTGATTCGATTGTACAATTGTGACTATATGATGAGCAGACACTTGTTTCAGCAACATTACTGCTGTATGATTATCTTTGTAAACAAATCGATTCTGAACCAGGCAATCCAATGATTGTCACCATGCGATACGACGATAGCGCATGTGTTTATGAATCACTATCATTGCGTGAGTGAGAGTGGTTTTACGCCGCTTTTAGCAATATGTCAGCAATATCACGTCAGGGGACACCAGAAATGGGCTTCACACATTGTACCCATGTGGGGAATCGAACCCGAGTTTTCGGCGTGACCAGCGGACGCTTTAACCACTATTCTACCTCACCGCCCCTTATGAATCAGTATCAATCAATGCAATTTGGCAGAAAAAGGTATAAAGTGCTGGACACTTCGGGTTAAGAATTTAGTGTACCAGTGTCGCTATGGATATGTTTGGATAGAACAAAGTATTGTATTATTTTCTAAATTTATAAATGCTTTCAAACAGAGATGTATTGGTCAAATATGGATAGCAGATTTTCCCTAATATTCTAAATTAAAACTTTATCGTACTATTCAATTTTATCCCTCTTCTGAACCATGTCAATACACATAAAGGTGAAAGAATATAGAATAGCTTTTGGTAAAATTATATTCAGTAATCATGGATTAATGATTGAAGAAGATAGATAGCAAAAACTACAAATTTCAGAAAGGCTGTGTCCTGTATGTATTGTACCAAGACCCGAAAATGAAGTTCATTGTACGTTGGAATGTCCATTTTAAGATGTGTAATATCACCTAAATATTTCTGTGAAAATCATCCATTACCTAAAATGTTAAAATTATTCAACTTTTTAAACTGCCGTGCCAAATACATATTTCTTGGTATGAAGAAGCGCGCTAATTTTTTAATGTTTAAAATCATAATACGATAACACCTCCAACATAACTATATGTGCTCAGGTATTGTTAATAGTGGGTTTGTTTGTATTTGTAATATGGGCCGGTGACCTAATTACGGAAATAAAGTGACGAGAACTAAGGCACTCTTCCGTCACACTTTGTAATATGATACCATGGTGTTGTCCGGTGTGTTCTATTTATTTTTATTACATGCATATTGTAAGGCATTTTCTATCATGGTGTTGACGGGTGTGATATATAATTTCTTTTTGCTACATGTATATAGTTAGGCACTATACCATCACAGCATAGTGCAATGTCTTCGAGAGAGAAAAAAGTAACAGTGATATGTATGTCAAGGATCAAAACCGACTCCGAGGTTTGGTTTGAAAAGTAAGCCAGTGGCAGAGGGAAATTGGGGAGGGCCGATAGGCCGGACCAAATTTCCCGAGGCCCAGGGCTTCCTTTTCAAACAAAACCTCAGATGAGGTTTTGATCCAACTTATGAACCGACTGAAGATATACCTTAGATATAATTTTAATATTTGGTATTTACTGTTGAAATCAACTGGGGTGCGACTGGTAGTCGATTCCATGTATTGTACGCTCAATGCACGCGCTACCCGTCTTGTGAGGAACACATGGTTCATACAATCTCCCTCGCAGCCATCCTTCGTAGCCTACTGGATTAAACCGCCAAGCTAGTAATCGAAGGGTTGCAGGTCCGAAACCAGGAATCGGCACAATAGATTGGATGTTTTCAATAATGTGATATTTTACGATCGTATTCAGTAATAGCAAGACAAAGTTGTATCAGTCTTCAAAACAAGTAAAATAAGTCAAGGGATATTCCTCAGAAAATCGACCCATGCAGATCCGGGGTGGAATAGGTCTTCAGCAACCCATTCTTGTCATAAAAGGCGACTATGCATGTTGTAAAAGGCTCGCTGACTTGTTGACACATGTCATCGGTTCCCAATTGCGCACATCGATGCTCATGCTGTTGATCACTGGATTGTCTGGTCCAGACTCGATTATTTACAGACCGCCGCCATATAGTTGGAATAAGGCTGAGTGCGGCGTAAAACTAAACTCACTCACTCACTCCTCAGAAAATCCCCTGGGATGCGTCCAATTGTCTTGGAAATCCCAGGGATTTCTTGGAGAATGTCCGCGAAACTGCTTGTAGAGGTTTACTCGGTAAAAGGAGAACCTGGCGAGTCAATAGAGTGACGTCACTTGACGTTTACAAGACAGGTTGTACTCGGGCAGAGCTTTAAAATTCACACTCCTGAGAGAGTTGAAAAATATTACGTCAGTTCGCCAATATTTTCGCCACTTTGTGACGACAGTTTTGTTGATCAAAACATTCTGTCTGTTTTAAGTATGATTTTAACAAAAAGCCAACGGTGGCGGAGTTTCTGTTTTGCCTCTGTGTTCCTCGATACCTTGTAACCCTCTTACTTCAATCTCTGTTTTTACTTAGTTCTGACCAGCGTCTGTCGAGGTCAGGACTGTTGTTGTGATGACACCAACAACGCTGTCTGCGGGGACGACGGCAACACCTACACCAACGAATGTTTCCTCTCCTGTGCCGGGTAGGCATACATCATGTCAGGCCATACTACATTTACCTTATATCATGCATCACCGAGCCTTGAACTTCCCTTAGAGGAGTCAGGGTCGGCACCATACACCTTTATTTAATTAATGCTTCTTTACCTTCACCATATCCATACCAGGGAATATTGTTATAAGGTGAGTATGCTTGCAGTCAAGCAAAGAAACAAAGAAGGGGTTTGTATGTATAATGGAAGACATGTTACAACACTAAATCGTTGATTCATAATTTAGGTATGCAAACAGTTTTGGACATGATAAATACGCTTAAAGGTGCAAATGGAGAAACGATGTCAGACTGCAAGCAATTACAAATCCTTGTAGACGGTTCTACAATCACACTTTACTGTTGTGCTTCAATAGTGCGACGAAGGTATCCGACGGAGAATGTGCCAAGGTCTGTGCCTGTACAAAACTCCTTTTACCAGTCTGCGGCAGTGATGGCGTGACTTATGGCAACCAATGCCTCATGGATTGTCAAGGGTGTGTACATTTGGAATGTATGTTCATCAGAGTAGAAACAATTTACAAGGACTGAAAAAATCCGATTATTTCAATGGGATATATGTATATCCATATAATATTCACCAGATAAAGTCTTAAAGTTATCATCAAATTATCTTTTCCTTTTGACCTTTAGCAATGAACTTTGTTCAGAGGTATGGTTTTTATGCTTTATGCCAAAGAACGAAACAAGGGGTGTATCACTATAATGAAAAATATGTTATAATACTAAATCGCTTATACATCTTTCAGGTATGTACTCAGTTTTGGAGACTATTAATACGTTTACAGGTGCATATATAGAAAACGATGTCTGATTTCTAGTTGTTAAGAATCCTTGTAGATTTTCCTACAATCAAACTTTACTGTTGTGTTTCAACAGTGTGACGAAGGAATCCGACGGAGAATGTCCCAAGGTTTGCACCTGTCCAAAACAGCTTTCACATGTCTGCGGCAGTGATGGCGTGACTTATGACAACGAATGCCAGCTGGAGTGTCAAGGGTGTGTACACTTGGGATGTATGGGTTTTTTTTAGATTACTGGGTAATGTCTTAAGCTATACTAAGATAATCCTTGCGCACTGACATCGTTTATGCATGCACTTGAATGATTAATACGCTTACAGGGGCATATAGAGAAACCGATGTCAGACTTCTGGCAGTTAATAATCCTTGCACACCTTTTTACAATTGAACCTTACTGTTGTGCTTTAAAAGGGCGACGGAGCTTGTCCAAAGGTTTGCGCCTGTCCGAAGGTCTTTTCGCCTGAGTGTGGTAGTGATGGCGTAACTTATTACAACCAATGTCGTATGCTATAATCTCATAACCCTTGCTCTTGTACCTAACTCTGTGACTTGTGGCGACCAATACTAGCTGGAGTTTCAAGGGTGTGTACATTTTGAATACGTTTTCTTCAGTTTAGAAACACTTTACAAGGACTTAAACACACGAGCATTTCAATTAGTTAGGTGTATATTCAAATATTGATTACCAGATATAGTCTTAAGTTGTCATGAAATAATCTCTTCCTATTTATCTTTACCATATCCATGACAATCAGTATTATCCAGAGGTATGTTTGTATGACTTATGGTAACCAAAGAACAAAACAAGGTGTTTAACACTTTAATGAAAGAACTGTTATAATACTTAACCGTGTTTTCATCTCCCAGGTATGTACTCAGTTTTAAAGATACGCTTACAGGTGTGTATAGAGAAAATGATGCCAGACTTCTAGCAGTTAATAATCCTGGTTGATTTTCCTACCATTACTCTCTAAAGTTGTACTTCAATAGTGCGACGAAGGAATCCGACGGAGAATGCCCGACGCTTTGTGCATGTCCTGTTGTCCTTTCACGTGTCTGCGGCAGTGATGGCGTGACTTATGACAACGAATGCCAGCTGGATTGTCAAGGGTGTGTACATTTAGGATGCATGTTTTTAAGATAACTGGCTAATGTCTTAAGCTATAATCAAATAATCATTGCTTTTGTACCTTTACCATATCTATGTTAAGTACCATTTTATTAGGTTCAGTATCCTTTGAACCTGACAAACAAAAATCAAATCAATGGGTTATCACTATAATGAGGCAGTTGCTACAAAATAAATCGTTGATTCATCTAGGCATGTCTTGGAGATGATAAATACGCTTGCAGGTGCATATATAAAAAAACCGATGTCAGACTTCTAGCATTTAAGAATGCCTGTAGACCTTCCTACAATTTAACTTTACTGATGTGCTTCAACAGTGCGACGAGGGTGTCCGACGGCGAATGTCCCAAGGTTTGTCTCTGTCCACTTATCTTTGCACCTATCTGCGGCAGTGATGGCGTGACTTATGACAACGAATGCCAGCTGGAGTGCCAAGGGTGTGTACATTTGGGATGTGTGGTTCTTTTTAAGATTACTGGGTAATGTCTTAAGCTATGATCAAATATTCATTGCTCACTGACATCGTTTAGGTATTCACTTAGTCTTGGAGATGATTGATACGTTTACAGGTGCATATAGAGAAACCGATGTCAAACTTCATGCAGCTTTCTGCAATTTAACTTTACTTTTGTGCTTTAAAAGTGCGACGAAGGTGTCCAAAGCGTATCCAAAGATTTGTGCGTGTCCAAAAGTCCGTTCTACCGATCTGTGACAATGATGGCGTGACTTATTACAACCATTCCCTAATGCTATATTCAAAATTATCCTTGCTCTTGTGTCTAACCCTTTGACTTGTGACAACCAATGCCAGCTGGGTGTCAAGGGTGTGTGCATTGTAGGGCTGCAAAGATTCACCCAGACCTCGATTCGATTCGATTTTCGATATTGGACCCTCGATTCGATCATTTTCGATTCGATTCGTCACACGAGTAAAAACATCAGATTTCATTTAACTCTCAAGAGTCGGTTTCATTAGCCTGAAATCCATCGTCGGCAATGTCGACTAACAACAATTATCATTGGATTATTAGCCAGGCGTCGACCAATCTTGTTTCGCCTTATTTCTGCGCCCCAAACTGCTCGAGTTGGAGTCAAGATTACGTTCTGGCTGTGTGGAAATAATTTAAATAGATATTCAAATATCGAATCGAAATAGTGATAATGGTTATCGAAAATCGAAACTAAGGTGTCATATTCGATTTTCAATGAATCGAACCGAATCGTTGCAGCCCTAGTACATTGTGGTGTCATGAAATAATCTCTTCCTATTTATCTTTACCATATCCATGACAATAAGTATTATCATCAGAGGTATGTTTGTATGACTTATGGTAACCAAAGAACAAAACAAGGTGTTTAACACTTTAATGAAAAGAACTGTTATAATACTTAACCGTGATTTTCATCTCCCAGGTATGTACTCAGTTTTAAAGATAATTACAGGTGTGTATAGAGAAAATGATGCCAGACTTCTAGCAGTTAATAATCCTGGTTGATTTTCCTACCATTACTCTCTGAAGTTGTACTTCAATAGTGCGACGAAGGAATCCGACGGAGAATGCCCGACGCTTTGTGCATGTCCTGTTGTCCTTTCACGTGTCTGCGGCAGTGATGGCGTGACTTATGACAACGAATGCCAGCTGGATTGTCAAGGGTGTGTACATTTAGGATGCATGTTTTTAAGATAACTGGCTAATGTCTTAAGCTATAATCAAATAATCATTGCTTTTGTACCTTTACCATATCTATGTTAAGTACCATTTTTATTAGGTTCAGTATCCTTTGAACCTGACAAACAAAAATCAAATCAATGGGTTATCACTATAATGAGGCAGTTGCTACAAAATAAATCGTTGATTCATCTAGGCATGTCTTGGAGATGATAAATACGCTTGCAGGTGCATATATAAAAAACCGATGTCAGACTTCTAGCATTTAAGAATGCCTGTAGACCTTCCTACAATTTAACTTTACTGATGTGCTTCAACAGTGCGACGAGGGTGTCCGACGGCGAATGTCCCAAGGTTTGTCTCTGTCCACTTATCTTTGCACCTATCTGCGGCAGTGATGGCGTGACTTATGACAACGAATGCCAGCTGGAGTGCCAAGGGTGTGTACATTTGGGATGTGTGGTTCTTTTTAAGATTACTGGGTAATGTCTTAAGCTATGATCAAATATTCATTGCTCACTGACATCGTTTAGGTATTCACTTAGTCTTGGAGATGATTGATACGTTTACAGGTGCATATAGAGAAACCGATGTCAAACTTCATGCAGCTTTCTGCAATTTAACTTTACTTTTGTGCTTTAAAAGTGCGACGAAGGTGTCCAAAGCGTATCCAAAGATTTGTGCGTGTCCAAAGTCCGTTCTACCGATCTGTGACAATGATGGCGTGACTTATTACAACCATTCCCTAATGCTATATTCAAAATTATCCTTGCTCTTGTGTCTAACCCTTTGACTTGTGACAACCAATGCCAGCTGGGTGTCAAGGGTGTGTGTGCATTGTAGGGCTGCAAAGATTCACCCAGACCTCGATTCGATTCGATTTTCGATATTGGACCCTCGATTCGATCATTTTCGATTCGATTCGTCACACGAGTAAAAACATCAGATTTCATTTAACTCTCAAGAGTCGGTTTCATTAGCCTGAAATCCATCGTCGGCAATGTCGACTAACAACAATTATCATTGGATTATTAGCCAGGCGTCGACCAATCTTGTTTCGCCTTATTTCTGCGCCCCAAACTGCTCGAGTTGGAGTCAAGATTACGTTCTGGCTGTGTGGAAATAATTTAAATAGATATTCAAATATCGAATCGAAATAGTGATAATGGTTATCGAAAATCGAAACTAAGGTGTCATATTCGATTTGCAATGAATCGAACCGAATCGTTGCAGCCCTAGTACATTGTGGTCTTCATACTAGAAAAAAACTTTACAAGGACTAAAAAGGAGTGATGTGTATTTTCATATACTCATCACCAGTTAATGTTCTACGTCATCATCAAATACGCTTTTCCTTTTTATCTTTACCATATCCAAGGCAATGAAAATTGGTCAGAGGTATGTTTTTTTAGCTTTATGGTAACCACAGAACAAGACAAGGTGTATATCACTATCATGAAAGAACCGTTATGATAATCGTTGATTCGTGTTTTACGTAATTTGTACTCAGTTTTGGAGATAATTATAATGCATATAGAGAAAACGATGTCAGACTTGTACCAGTTAATAAACCTCGTTGACTTTCCCACCAATTCTCTCTGATGTTGTGCTTCAATAGTACGACGAAGGAATCCGACGGAGAATGTCCGAAGGTTTGTGCCTGTACAAAAGACCATGCACCTGTCTGTGGCAGTGATGACGTGACTTATGACAACCTCTGCCAGCTGCAGTGTCAAAGGTATGTACATTTGGGATGTGTTCTTCAGATTAGAGAAACTACAACCATTTCAATAAATATTGTATTTATTCATAACTGGGTAATGTCTTAAGTTATTATCAAATAATGTCTGCTTCTTTACCATATATTTAGTAACAAATATTGTTGTCAACATATGTTTTCGTGTGCCTCCTGTCAAACAAAGAACAAAACAAGGTCTTTGTCACTATAATCAGAGAACTGTTACTATTGCTCATCATAAGTTCATCATCGTTGTATCTGCACTTAGTTTGGGTGATTCGACCTTTGGCGCTTAGATGCATTTGTGTTGCAGTAGCTTTTTTCCGTCTTTTCAGTGGAGTCACCATAGTCGGACTTGGGCACTGTGGATGAACGTGATTGAGAAAAGCTGCAAATATTCTTGGGGTTTTTTGGGTTTTTTAAATGGTTATTTTCAAAGTATCACCAATGTATCATAAACTCTGATTACAAATACTGGTTTTAGAAATAATCAATAACTTACTGTTACTCCACTTAATCAATAGTTCAATAAACCTTATATCAAAACGCTTTGTATACATTCGTTTTTCTTCACCTGGAACCGAAACATACAGAGCCTACTTCGTGCACTTCAGCCGCATAAAAGACGTGTTGTTGTCAGTAGAGCACGGTAATCTGATAAGCAAAAGGAGCATAACTCTCAAAATCATAACTCAATATTTATACAGTACCTTAGCAAATCAATAACACTACATACATTTGTCACACCGTCAACTCGACTTTGGCTTGGCAGCCTTCAGCACACAGATACAGCTTTCGTATAGACACTATAAAGTTCGACTCAAGAGGACGAATATAATGCCACATACTTTAAACGCACACACCAACGATCTCGGTGGACGCCGGGGATCATGTATTTTCGAAGTTGACGCCGTGTGTCAGTAGTGCGTAATAACCATCACGATTTGTCAAACATCCGTTCACTCGACGAGGGCCACAGCCAATAACGATGTGACGCAGCCTTTCCAAGTCCCCTTACAGGTTCAGGCCACGTTTAGCCACCAACATGGTCGGTGGTCCATGACGTAGAGGCACCCGTGAAGAGCCACCTCCTCGTGGTGGGTGCTGGGTAACGCTAAGAGCTCTTCAACCCCCGTTGTGGACCCGGGGGTATATTTGGTCCACCAACCCGTTTGCCGTGGGTTGCGCCCCTGTGTCGGTGGAGGATGGGAGTCTGGTGGTTGAAGGCACTGGTCTCAGGAACAGCGTTCGTTTGCTCAACGCACCACTTCGCCCCTTACTTCACCTAGACGGGTGGTTGAATTAGCCCGGTTCAACCAATCGGCTGGTCATGTCAGGCCCTGTACCATAGATTTTATGTAATTGCACAACATTTGATTTAATATTGTTTAAATTTTGGTCTTGGCACCCTTTGTTCATGTAACATCATTTGATTTTTGTAATATGTTTATCGTGAACTTTGCCTAGAGTCTTATGCCCAGAGGGCGGTGGCTCATGGGCCAATCTGGTAGAAGAATTAATCTTTTAGTTTTTCTGCAGGAATATATCATCCGAGTATCCTTGGTGCTGCAAGTCGGAGGTCCGCTTGTGTTTAACATTGTCCTTACGATACTCCATGGAGGGTGGAGAGCTCGGATGATGAACCATTAAAAAACTAACCATGGCATACGAAACCCCCCTTAAAAAAAACCCCTTAACGTCCACTTGACACTGATCCAGAGGGTAACGACCAACGACTGTCCACATCCATTGATTACTGGCCACGATGGAGACTCAAGATAACACCAGACTAAAGTTAAATCTTTTTGTTTTACTTTGCAAAAAGGCATACAAGGCATAACCGGTGTTGTAAAAAAGTATCAAACGTTTATGTTCAGGGTCACTGCTTATTGAGTGCAGCAAAAGGCAACGGCAACTAACCTGATGACCACTGAAACGTTCGTTGGCATTCTGGTTTCGATCTCTCCTCACAGAACACTTAATACCAGCAAAGTAATCGTAAGAGACCGAGATCGATTGTTCACCGACATGTCTGAACTTGACATTGTTTCAGAAATGAAAGATCAAAGGGTCTTATATGTAAAGCGTTTTAAACACGTAAAAAACAGGAAACCATTTCAACAAACACGTACATTTTTTCATTTTCTTCTCCAACTGCTCCCAGATCACTAATGGCAGGGTACTGAAACATTAATGTCGACACCAACATACCAAACCCACTGAGATGTTTTAAATGCCAGAAGTTTGGTCATGGTGTTAGTACTTGCACATTGTCTGTTGTGTGTGCTCACTGTGGTGAGAAGACACATACAACATCGTCTGATTAAACTCCTCCAATAGCCAAATCGTCTATAAGCTGTCAGACGAATTTAACCTGGCTCAAAACCAATTCTCCTAAGATTTTGTCACCTGCTATGTCTACTCCTTAGATTTTGTCATCTGCAATATCTACACAAACTGCAGAACCACTTCCTGGTAGGCCCCAAATCCAATCTTCTCAGTCAACTCAAAAGTCTCAATCAACGTCAAACGTTCAACAAATCGTTAAAAACAAAGACAAACCGAAGCCAGATTCTTTGAAGAAACAAAGTGGCAGAGCCCCAAAAGGGTCAGATGATAAAATCAAATTATTTAACAAATACGGATCACTTGAGGACATGGACGTATCCGAAAGCGTCCACTCTAGGGCACATATCTTGTCGCCCTCGAAAACGGTGCGAGGTAGATCCCCAATTAATCCGCCTAAAAGATAGGTCTATCTAACAATATTGTGCAGTGGAACTGTAGAGGACTCCGGACAAATTTTAATGAAATACAGCTATTAATCCAGGATTTAACACCATCAGCGTTCTGTCTGCAAGAGACGTATCTGAAACAGACAGATAATTTTAACTTACGTCAGTTTGAAACGTATCATTATTTTTCCCCTCCAGGTGATAGAGCCACTGGAGGTTCTACTATCCTTATACGACAGGATATTATTCACAGCCCTGTTACACTTAACACAAATCTCCAAGCTGTTGCAGTGCGAATTACTCTGGATGTAGCTTTTACGTTATGCTCTCTGTATATTCCGCCTTCATCGAACCTTCAGCTGACTGATCTTCAATCACTCTATGATCAACTCCCAAAGCCATGTGTTATTATGGGTGACCTGAACGGTCACAACCCACTCTGGGGCAACACTAATACTAAAGGCAAAATAATTGAAGATTTCATTTCCAATAATGACCTGTGCATATTTAATGATGATTCAAGCACCTATCTGCATCCTGCAACTGGCACTTAATATTCTTCTCTGGATTTGTCTCTTGCAGATTCTAACCTCCTGAATGAATTTGACTGGTCTGTTCATAATGACCTTTGTGGAAGTGACCTCTTCCCAACTATCCTTTCAGAAATAACTCCATCTGATTCTTCATCGTATACAAGATGGAACTTTTCGAAGGCTAATTGGTCTTTATATCAAACTATATGTAAATCGAAACTGCGACCTGAATGTTTCAGTGATATAACTGATCCCATTTAAACTTTTGCTGACGTTTTAAAGCAAATAGCTGATGAGTGTATACCACATGTACGAAAACCATGGTTTAATACAGATTGTAGACAAGCAAGAAAAGCGAGGAAAAAGGCAGAGCGTTATTTCCGCCATCATCCAACTGTCCATTACTTAAATAAATTTAAAATACGCAATGCAAAGGCGCGTCGTACCTTTAAACAAAACAAACGACAATCTTGGAGAAATTATGTCTCAAAATCATGCACGCCAATGTCTAAGGTATGGAACATGGTTCAAAGAATTAACGGCAAAGGTTCAAAATCTGCTGCTCACCATCTTAAAGATGGTGATAATTTAATTACTGACAAGTCTAAAATTGCAAATAAAATTGGCGAAACTCTTGCCAAAAATCCATCATCGGCAAATTATGTCCCTGAGTTTCAGAGATATCAGAAACAACAGGAAAAGACAAAACTTAATTTCGAATCAAATAACGGTGAAGATTATAGCGAAGTGTTTTCATTACATGAGCTACATACTGCTCTTGAGCAAGCTCATGACACTGCAGCGGGTGATGATAATATACATTACCAGCTACTGAAACACTAACCGGAACCATGTCTGATGACACTTTTAGATATCTTTGACCAAATATGGACGTCTGGAGAATTTCCTCCTTCGTGGCGTAATGCCATTGTCGTCCCAATACCAAAACCTGGCAGGGATCATACAGATCCGTCGAATTACAGACCGATATCTCTAACTAGCTGTGTTTGTAAAACCATGGAACGTATGGTGAATAATAGATTAACTTGGTATCTTGAAACCAATAACCTTATAACAAATATTCAATGTGGTTTCAGGAAAAATCGTAGTACCATTGGTCATTTGGTACGAATATAATCCTTTGTTAAAAATGCTATAGTAAATAAACAACATGCTGTATCAATTTTCTTTGATCTTGAGAAAGCTTATGATACGACATGGAAGCATGGCATTTTGAAGGATTTACATGATTTTGGTTTGAGAGGCCGTTTGCCTCTTTTTATGTCACGGTTTTTAAAAGACAGGCAATTTCAAGTCCGAGTGGGTTCAACCCTGTCTGATCATTATAATCAGGATCAGGGTGTCCCACAAGGCAGTGTTTTGTCTATCACACTGTTTAGCATTAAGATCAATAGTTTATCAACGGTTTTAAATGATTCAATTGACGGATCATTATATGTGGATGATTTCAATATTTCTTGTCGTGGTAAAAATATGCATACTATTGAACGGCAACTGCAGTTATGTTTAAACAAAATGAATAAATGGTGTCTTGAAAACGGCTTTAAATTTTCTAAGTCCAAAACATATTGCATACATTTCTGCCGTAAATATAAATCACATAAAGACCCAGAACTGTTTTTAAATGGCACTCCCATCAAGGTTGTAAAAGAGGCCAAGTTCCTAGGTCTCATTTTCGACTCCCATTTAATTTTTCTTCCGCATATCAAATCTCTACAAACTAAATGCCTGAAGGCACTCGATTTATTGAAAGTTGTGTCTAATTCAAGGTGGGGAAGGGATCAAGCTACAGCGGGTGGCCACAATATTACGTACATTGTCCATATTTTTTAGTAAGTTTAGAAATTAATCTTACTTTGAAACGATCGCGTTTGAAAACTAACTCTCTAAACGTAACCAATCTTAGCGAAATAGTAGAACCATTCACGCGACTGAAAAAAGTCGTCTGCTCGCTTCCGTCTGCTATTTTCGTCGACATGGGAAAATCTCAAGACTTGCCTTCGGCCGTTAAAACTATTATTGTAGAACGATATCAGGATGGCCAAAATTGTTCAGCTATTGCAAGACATTTCGGCTTCCCCAGAAGTACTGTTTATTCTTGTGTAAACCGTTTTCAACGAAGAGGCTGGATTGAGAATCGCCATCGAACAGGTCGTGCTGCCAAGGTGTCACGGAGAGGTAGGAGACAGTTGTTTCGGATCGTGAAAGACAATCGCATCGCACCTTAACATGAAATTACCAACATTTTTAATAGGGGTA